AGTTTGGGAGGGGCTCAAAGGGAGGTCCCGGCTCTTATTTGTCATGTTTTATTAGAGAAAACAAACAACCGTGTAGTGGTGCTTTATTCCTTACTCTTCTAAAATGTTTGAAAATATTTTTTAAAAAACTTTAAGGAAACTTTGACTCTTAAGGGAAATGAGGGGCAGAGGGTGATATGCAAGACGGAGGTAGGTTTTCTTTGTTCATTTTGGTTTGTTTCAAGGTATTAGAAGCAGGAGTGGAATGACCCAGTGGATAGGTTCAGGAGAAAGGGGGAGCCGGGGAGTCAGGACTCAGATGCACAGGGGCTGTTAGCCTAGGTAGGGAAGGGCTGTTCTTCCTGAGACGGCACTGACAAGGTATTTGAAGTTGGGGGGGTGGGGGCAGTTCTAGGAAGTTAAAGGCATTCCCACCTGATGTCCTCAACTTTTGCTGGGAAGTAGGAGGTAGGGTTTTCTGCTGAGAGGAGCTGGGTGGGTGGAAAGGTATTGGGGGATTTGAGAATATGCCCAAGGTTTGGAGAACAGGAACAGTGGTCAAAAAGGGACATATGAAATATTAACTGTAGTGTTAAAAGGTCATCTAGGGTCATAGACTCAATCTGTATGGCTCCAGTCCCCAGGTGTGTGGCTTTCCTCCAGCGATGCTCATAGCCTGGCTATGGAAGCAGGGAAGGCAGGTGGTTGGGTTGACCTAAGGCTGAGGGTTGCTGGGAAGCAGTGGCAGAAAGACAAGGAGGCTAGAGTACTGAGGGGTTGGCAGGAGAACAGCTGGAGTGGGGAGCTTTGGGGAGCAGTGTCTAGGCTGCTGAGTGGAGGTGAAACCATGACTGATGATGGACGGAGAGGAAAGGGAAGATTTGGGGACTTGCCTGTTCTTAGACTTCTTCACATGGCCAATCTCAGCCTTCTATGGGGGGTTTTACTGGAAAAGTAAAATAATCTTATTTGAAAAATAATCTTATTTCCCAGTTGGGGAGTACGTTATAATAAAGCCCATTTTCTTCTTTCCTTCCTTCTGTCAGTACTTAGCAATGCTTCTTACAGCTGTTAGGCTCTGGCAATAAAGAGACAAGCAAAAGTTCCTCCCTGTAAAGAGCTCACAGTCTCCTGAAGGAGACGGAAGGCCAACAGTTCCACTGCAGGGTGGAAAGTTCTAGACTCTAAGAGTGAGGGGAGAGGAGGGGCAGCTAGCTGCTCTGGGGCAGTGGTCAGCAAACTCCTTAGTCAACAGAGCCAAATATCAACAGTACAACGATTGAAATTTCTTTTGAGAGCCACATTTTTTAAACTTAAACTATATAGGGTAGGTACATTGTTATTAACTTAATTAGGGTCTCCTAAGGCTTAGGGAGAGCCACACTCAAGGGGCCAAAGAGCCGCATGTGGCTCGCGAGCCACAGTTTGCCGACCACAGCTCTGGGGGATCGGGGGAGGTTCTGTGCAGTGGGGGGTCTGCAATGGGCTTTAAAGAATGAGTTTGGACTTGTAGGTAAGGGAGATGGGGCTCCCCCCACCCCCCGCTGTGGAAGAGCAAGTGAGCAAAGGCATGGGGGTAGGAGAGAAGCACAGGAGTTAGGCCCGACAGGGGGCAGGGCTGCCTGCTCGTGTGGCAGAGGTGGGCTCTGGGCCCTGCCTGATTGTACAGACCTGGCCTTCAGTCCTGGGCTGATGAACTTGCATTCACTTCTAAGTGATGAGTGGTGGTGAGAGATTTTCAGAGAGTGACGTGATGATGCTGTGTTTTTAGAAAGATCCCCATAGTTCATGGCAGAAGAGATGACAATCTGTGAGGCAACAAGTGAGATTTGAGAACTTTAAGGAAGATAGACTCCTTAGTCCTGCATAGGTGATTGTAGAAAGGAGCGGAGGGAAGAGTGTGAGGTGGTTCAGAGCTCCGGTCTGGGCAACGGGGTGGGCTGTACCATTCACCAAGAAGAGAAATACTGAAGAACAGTTTGGATAGAAAGAGGGTGAGTTTGGTTTTGTACTTTTCTTACTGCTGTTTGGACAACCAGCTGCCAAATGAACCGGGGCTAGGAGAGAGGTCTTAGATGTACATTAGGGGATCGTCAGCTTATTGCTGGTGGATGACATTATACGGGCACAATGTATAAGGATATGGAAAGAGGTGGAGGAGGGTGAGGAGTGCATGAGAGGAGAGGAAGTCAGGGCTCTTCCCAGTAGCCTATCCCTGAAGGGAAAGAGGGAAGGGAGGGAAGGTGTTACCTGACAGGTGTAGGGATGAGGGGGCAGGTGTAAGTAGGGGTGGGGTGGAGAGAGAAACAGACAGACAGACAGATGGTTTAAGAAGAGATACCTGAGTGTGTTTGCTGAGGAGAAGAAGCCAGGGGAAAAGGAAAAGTTGAAGACAGGTTTGAGAGCTTATGGATGGGCAGAGTCTCAGAGGAGATGGCATCTGGGGCTGAGGACCGTGGTTCTGTGTGGCCTCATCTGTATTGCAGTGTGATTTTCAACAGCAGCACCACAGTCTGGCTGAGTGCAGGGAGGGTGGGTACTTTGATTAATCTGGAATTTTGAGTTTTAGAGAAGAGTGAGCAGAAAGACAGCAGATGGGGTGTTTCAGAGGGCAGTTGATTTGCTCTACTGCGGGGCCTAGGCTTTGTAAGGAAAGGACTACAACCAGGAGGTGGCTGACGGATCCAGAAAAAAAGGGAAGAATTGAAGAGCTGGGGGTCCCAGTGCAGTAGGAAAGCTTGTGTAGCTGAGTAACAGAGTGAGAAAGCCCAAAGGGTGGAATGTTTTGATCAGAAAATGAGAATGTTAGAACTGAAGATGTTAGCCGTGAAGGGACTGAGGTGCTAGCCAGGTCTAAGGAGTGGCCATGACAGTCCATTGCTGGGATGGCGGTGGAGGGGTTGGGAGGTGAGGACATCAAGGTTGAATGAAGTTAAGGCATTGGGTGGGTCATCCTCGAGAACAGTGCCACCGTGATGGCAAGACTGAACGAAGATGATGACCAACTCGGAAAGATGCTCTGGAAGCCAATGGTGGTGAGAAGGACTAAACAGTGGGAGATCCGTGGCGCTTCAGGAGAGAGAGCTAATGCCAGGATGTGGGAGAAAGGTGGTATCCACGTGGCAGTGAGGAGCTGGAACACTCGTGTCAGTGTTCCCAGCTGGGTTCCCAGTGGTACCCCAGCTCTATTGGACATTGAGAATGAACAGGACTCTGAGAGGATGGTGGTACAGGCAAGGTACTTGCAGCTGATGGGTTCTAGCAAGCACGATGAAAGAGGTAGGGAGTAAGGACAGTAGCAGAAGGGTAGGCCAGGAGTGAAATGAAAAACCTTACTTTCTCCCCCAGAAAACCCCAAAAGGCCCACCGCTGTCAGACAGGCAGGATTATTATTTGAGCCCGATTTTGGAAATAAGAAAAGAAGTCAGACTTTAGCGGCTGTGCTCTTGAGTTAGTAACACATCCATGATTCACATGTGGGCCCTCCCAGTATGAGGGCTCCAAGGCTACCCCAGAGCAGTACAACCCCAGAGAGGTCACCGCTGC